AGATGAAGATAAACATTGACTGAATATTACTTTTTGACATTTATTGTAGGTTTATAACAGTATATGGCCACCAAATGAAAGAAAATATGAATTTAGTTCAATGCTGAATTAAAAGAAAAACAAAAAACCATAAATTCAGTTGCTATATTTTCTTGATATAGGCACAAAATTGATTAGAATTGATTATAATAATTTTTCTGGATGTTGAAATGATTAACTGATTTGCAAATGTTAAGTCATGAATAAAAGCAAACTAAAATAAAGATATAATAGAATTCAGACATGTTTTGAATTACAATTCAATTCCATTGGTTGTCCTATCAATAATGAGATAAATTTAGTGGAAAATAACAATTGGCAGGTAAAATCACACTCTCCCTGGTCAAACTAGTAGGGGCGCTCCCTGGCGACTACCTAGCTTAGTGATAAAAGACTGCAAAGGAGAATAGCAAAAGAAATAATTTATGTTGAGGTGAACATTTCACTAGAAATCACATTTTTTTAAAGTCTGCACGAAAAAAAAAAAAAAATTGAGAACAGAAAATAAGTTGCATGTCAAAAGCAAAAATCTAGAGTAAGCTGCGAAAACAAAATTTTTTTTCATGAGTCATCAAATTATATACGAGTTGGAAACGTTTCCAAAGTGAAGAAAATTTAAATTTAAAAAAAAATTAAATTTAAATTTTCTTCACTTTGATTTATTCCCGTTCAAAATGAGTCTGCACGTGGTTTTCAAACGCGTCCTGATCACACGAGTCTTTCGGGAACTGTTTGCGACACATCGGACATACCCGTCCAAAGTGACTCTGTACGTGCTGCTCAAATGTATCAGAAGGACACGAAGGAGGAAAGAGAAGATTGCATTCTGGGCACCATCTAGCAGCCCTGTCAGCGGGGAATTCTTGCGCATCGTGGAATTCAGTAGCAACGTCATCTCTAAAAGAGACAATAATTAATGGATCAGTGAGGTTTTCAAGACATCTTGGTGGCAACTAGATTTCTCAAGTCATCTGATTTTTTGAA